GTAATATTTATGATATATTTATAATTATGCAAGCCAACAAAGGGACTACTCACACGTTTAAGCGGATAATTCCCGTCCAGATTAAACAGGTAATCCCCGATCCGAATACTTGAATACTCGGGGCACGCGAGTATCATATTTATCGAGTTTTTTTTGTCATTTCTACAAGAATATAGATGTATTCTAACCGGGATAAATATATTTATCTGAAGAGATGAATTGACAAAGGAAAATGCTTGCACCGCCATTTACAAATTCTTTTACAGATTGGTGAGGTGGCAATTGAATTAAAATTATCAAAATATCTTCATCATTTAAACGGTTGTGCTTATGTAATGTGGTTAATGACTAAAAGAAGTTAGAGGAATTTCTATTTTTTTTGTAATTTGTGCAATAGTGTTTAAACTCGAAAAAACAAAATAAATCCAAAACCTATCTTCTCTATATATGTATTATTTGTTAATCTGTTGTACTATATGTACATTATAACTTATAAATTTATTCACTAACATTTGATCTAACCAACCGGCAACCAAATAATATAAAATTATAATTATTTCCTAAAAAAGGTTGAATTTTGATTAATAAAAAAATAATTGAAAAGCAGCCGACCACAAAGTTGTTGAAGTTGATGAAATTATGTAAGTCCTCTATCTAGGCATATTAAAATACTTGTTCCCACATGCAACTACTTGATAATTAAACATTGGGTTTTGCTACAGTGTAAACGCCCGTGTACCCGCCCCCCACCCCCACAATGCAGGGCTCGTCCATTATTTTATTCACCTCGGACCCCCTCATTGTGAGGGGGGCGGTGGGGTCGTGTACCCGGGCATTTACATGCCCGGATACAAATGGTTTTACCCTAAAACATTTATATTTTTATACGCGTTTTAATTTATTTTACAAAATAATTAAAATAATAACTAATCAGGGTCAGCCTGCCATTCTTTGATAGACGATAGAGTAAGCTATTTACGTTATCTATATTATTGTTCACATATAGGAAAATTATTAATTTATCAATAAACCAATATTTATTAATTTAAAGATAATTT